CGAAGGCTTTGTAGGTCTTGTGGACGGAGGAGGGGGGAGAGTGGCGCCTCCGCGAGTGCGTGGTGCGGGGGAACGAAAATACCGAAAATTACCGAGAGCACCACCGAGCCCTAGCCGACGAGCGCATCGCTCTCTTGCTGCAGCTCCAACCGGCCTTGGCCCGTCGCATTGACCCTCGCGAGCAGGGCGTGGACCGGACTCTGGGAAGGTGGCAAAGGAGCCTGACGCGACTCCTGCCGGCGAGTCTCGCGCGCACCCTGGGTGGTGACCGAGCCCGTCCATGCGCGGCCTTCGTGCCCACGGGGATGGTTGACTTCGTGGAGGGACTCTGCACGGCCTTCCCGCGCCGGCACCACTTCCTTTTCGCGGACTTCGACTCCCTCCCCCCCCCGGCCTTGGAGGCCCCCGGGGGAGAAGAGGAGGAAGCCCCCGACCTGCGGGCCCTCAACCCTCCATTAGTGACGAGTCGGGATCCGGCTACGGGGCAGCATCGCGATCATCCCTCCTACCTCTCGCACAAGGGCAGCGCCGACATTTTTTTTCCCGTGGACTTTGCGTTGCTCCAAGAAGTCTACCGTTTCTTCGCGAGCCGGGCCGACCGGAAGGGTGGGGGGCAGGCCTCGGTGAGAGTGCTTAAGTCGGCGCGATTTTTGGAGAGGTATGGGGAGGAGGGCGGTCAGGGAACCTGCACGAGGTCGGGGTATAACCCCATGCTTGAGGACTTTCTGAACACCTGCTTCTTCGTTGCCGAGGCCAAGGATCCCTCGGCTAGGGAGGGGCGTTCGAGAAGGGCAACTCCACGGTCGAGACGATGATATATGTGGATAAAGGACACGAAACGAAAGCAACCAAAGCTGTAACAAATTAAAGAAGGGTATATCACTCACTATTTCCTCCGGCGGCATTCGTTCTTCTCTTCCAATTCTTTCAATCTATGGCCCGCTGATCCAGTGCTACAAGTCTTTCTACTTTCGTTTTTCAAAGATGCTTCCGGTTCGCCGGAAGCATGACTAATTCCACAAAGTTTCTAGAGCTTAGGAGAGACTTGAGAAGCCTGGACGTGAGAGCCAGAGCGAGGAGTATACATCGCAAAATCGTGAGCCAACACGGTGACTATGAATCTCAAGGCTTTGATAAAACATACCACGAATGTGTTTATATGTCCAGCGAGAGTATGGTGGATTTCTTTGCGCATACGTCGGGTTACGGCGTTCGATCTCCATCCATTTTGGGAGGGGATCTCTCTTCATTCTTCGTTTGAGCATAGTACGCGTGCCCCGTCTCTTTTAAATTATCTTCTATTGCTCAGACGATGTTTCAATCAATGAAATGCCTTCCGTGCAGATGAAACCAAGTTATCCGGTCGGAAGGGTTGTCCTTTTCCATGGCTTCATTAACGGTCACCAACGGCCAGGTTAACGGCTGTCGACCATTCCAAGCCGTTAAAAGTGCCTCGATGAGAATAGAAAGTAATCGAGCCTTCTCAGTCTATGTCGTATCTTCCGTCTGTGTAAGTTTAACTTTATCGGATGATTCATGCACATGTCTTGGAGCGGGCGGTGCGACTACGAAGAAAGTAATGCCGCCCAATTTCGCGTGAGATCTTTTGGAGGTTTAAAAACAAAACGACGCTATTTCCTCCTACAGGCTGCTGCTTGTATCAAAGAACTCAATAATAGCTGATCTTATGTATATCGGACCATGGCAAGATTATATAATGCTTCGTCGGCACCGATTTCCCCGCCTGGAAGGGCGCTATGCCCACGACATTTGTAAACCTCCTCACCGGCATTGTTCTCCATCCTCTGTGCGCAAGCCATACGGAGTGAAACCGTCTCCTCAGTCGAGAAGTCCACAAATGGCTAGGCAAACTGACAAATGTCGGAGTGTGGAGAGGCATGGCGCAACTGGATCAAGTGGTTGTGCACTTGAGGCGAAGCGGAAAGTGTCGATCGTCGAAACGAGGAAGCCCAAAGGGAGCTCATCCTCTGGGACGCCTTCCATGCGAAAATCCCGACTCGATCGTGTACAAATGATGAAAGCTTCTTACTTGCAACCCAGCGATGCCTATCTTGATAAAGGGGGGAGCGGAAGGGATGACCCGATCACGCTAGCATGTATGCCTTCGACCGAGTCAGGCCCGGAACGGTCAGAGACCCAAGTGGGGGACGTGGAGGAGGAGTGCAAACCAAGCAGGCGCAAATCTTCCTCCAGAGATGAGGAGGAGGACTTGATGCGATGGGCCCAGGAGCTTTCCGATCCTGAGGACTCGTGACGGCCGCCTGTTCGATCCGTTCGGGCTGTCCACGGGCTGTTGCTGCGGGGCGGGACACATCTTGGCAGGATGAGGATACGACGCGAAGCCTTTCGCGCATGCCTTGGTCGCAGGGCAAGGTTCAAGGCTCCTCAATTGCAATGACTCCCTCGTCCTGATGAATTGACGCCATCGAGCTTCCTCCCCGGCCTGGCAATGTAATGCCTTCCAGAAAAGGCCGTCATATCAAAGACATGGGCTCAACGATCACATCAGTCGAGGTGGAGGGCTCTGCAGGACTTGATTTCTTGATAGCGCCATGCACTCTACTCCCTGGATACATAGAAATGGACGGGATGAAAAAAAGTGTGCCACTCCTCTGGAAGAAGCCTCCCGATCACGAGAACTCTGTCACGGTTTGAGAGCATCAGCTCACGAAAATGACACCGTAGGGGTATGAGAACATCAGAGTGAAATCAAGGGGAGTGGCACGGGTCCAGGAAGAACGCCTTGGCTCGGAGGCTGGCGGGTAGTTTTTGATTCTTCCCTCAAGGGACCCGCAGGATAAAAAGTGCTCTTTGGGCTGAGAGCACTGGGTGCCGGGACACGGGAGAGACGACGCTTATGACGAAACACCCATGGATACTCTGGTATTTTTGTTTTTGCCAATTTTATTCTCTTACGCCTTTCAGAAAGAGAACGCCTGCCTTGCTCGGTCGCTTGGTCAACATTGCAGCTGATGGCGAGGGAAATGCAGCTCAACCTGCGCCAATGCACCGATACTAAGCATGCTGTGCACATTAAAAATAGGTCAGGTGACTTTAAATTACTAATTTAACTTTTTATAATGAAATTTTTGGGTTTAGTTGGGGGGAAAAGATGTTTTTGGGTGTATTTAATAATCTCCTACTGGGGCGGGAGGTTATTTGCTTGACCGGTGCGAGTGTAAAGCCGACAGCCATGTCTGAAATGTAATATTTGGCGCTTATGTTGTAAAGAATCTATGACGATCTGACTAGTAATCTGGAGGGGTGGGAAGACACAAAATCCGGGCAAAAGTATTTTTGAAAATTGTTTATTTTGCACGTCGGCGTGCAGGAGAGAGGTAATACACGTGCGCCCGTTGTTTTCCGCGCTCGACCTGAGACCTCTGACCTGACCAAGGACGCTTTCTCAGCGTGTCATCGGTCGATAAGCACATAAAGGTACCGCCATTTAACCGTGAGCTGCAAGGTTGGCTGATTTCTTTTACCGGGTTGTTGTCTTTGTTTCCTTCCCGTTCAAGGGAAGGGCCGGGCGCGTCGGCGTTGGTCATAGCGCCATGCTCCTCTCTTTCATGGCCCTCGTGCACGCCCACACCCACCCGCGCTTTCTCACATGCAAATTGTCCAACCCTTTGCCCGCCTTTGCAACCAACGGACAGGCGTGCATGCGTGCGTGAGACCCGGGGTCGGAAAGGGAGGGGTCATGGCTCCCGGAAGGGCCGGCCGAGGGCCCTGGCTGGTGTTGGGATTGGTCTCCACCCTGGCCGTCACAGCCATCGGCTACGTACACTACGACCAACAAAAGCAACGCACGGACATGCGTCGGCTGATTGTCGAGGAGAAAGAGAGGGAACGGGAGGAGCAGGCGCGGGCGGGGAGCCAGAGGGCGAGGGCGGGGGCTCCGGGCGCCAAGGGCGGGCCAGGGCGCTCTTTATGACGGGATGGAGGTCGTGGCGGACGCCGCGCAGAGAAAAATGGCGGGCGCAGGGAAATGCGTGTACATCGACGGGGAGA